CCTAGCCTTTATAATTTAGCTGTAGAATTAGCTTATAAAGGTTGTCTAGTGCTGTAGTTATTTATTATCTTTTATAAGACTTTACATATAGCTACAGCACATTTCTTTAAGAGTTTTATGTTTTATTTAAAAGCTTAGAGTGTAAGCTGTATCTAACATTCTTTTAGCGCGTCTAAGTAGTGTTGTAGGGAATGCATTAGTGTAGAAAGGGTGGTTTAGTGGGGTCTTGGCAAAAGTAAGCGACTCAGGTGTGTGAGCAACTCGCCTATGAAGTACGTTAGCGCTAGACAACCTTTATAAGCTAATTCTACAGCTAAATTATAAAAGCTAGGTAATAAAAAGAAGCAGGTAATTATTAAGACTATACTTAAGCTATATGCGCAAGGAATTTCCCCTTAGATTACATTTATAGCTAATATAGCTAATTCTTTGCGCACTAAGTGTAATCTAGGCTATATTTGCATAAACTAGCCTAGTATGTTTATAAAGTGTTATTTAAAGCTTAAAGTAAAGTTTTAAGTGTAAGTATAGTTAAAAAATATTTAGCTAATTATAAACTTTATTTTACTAAAGTTGTATATGTTATTATTCTAGATGCTATACTTAGCTTTAATATTCTTTATAAAGCTAAACTTGCTTTAAATTACTTTAGAACTCTTATAAAAAGCTTTTTTATAGTTGTACTTACACTTAAACATTACTTTAAGCTTTAAATAACACTTTATAAATATACTAGGCTAGTTTATGTAAATATAGCCTAGATTATGCTTAGCGTGTAAAGAATTAGCTATATTAGCTATAAATGCTATTTAAAAGGAAATTCCTTGCGCATATAGCTTAAGTATAGTCTTAATAATTACATACTTCTTTTTATTACCTAGCCTTTATAATTTAGCTATAGAATTAGCTTGTAAAGGTTATCTAGCGCTATAGTTATTTATTATCTTTTATAAAGCTTTATATATAGCTGTAGTATGTTTCTTTAAGAGTTTATGTCTTATTTAAAAGCTTAAAGTGTAAGCTGTATCTAACATTTTTTTAGCGCGTCTAAGTAGTGTTATAGAGAATGCATTAGTATAGAAAGAGTAGTTTAGTAGAGTCTTAGTAAAAGTAAGTAACTTAGGTGTGTAAGCAACTTGCCTGTGAAGTACGTTATAAAATATATAAAATATATAAAACATATAACGTACTTCATGGGCGAGTTGCTCACACACCCGAGTCGCTCACTTTGCCAAGACCCCACCCTAATAAACTCTATTATAGCCTATAACAACCCGCTCTGGCACTATATAGTACAGTACAGCCTAGAATATTATTTAGATACTACTTTTGCTTCTTGCTTACACATTTATGTGTTATGCCTAGTCTAATTACACTATCTGTAGCGCCTTTAGGACAGCTTACCTACTTTAGCTTACACCTGCTTCTTTACCTTCTTCCTATTACTACGCGCCTTAAACTCTTTTAGAGCTGTTAAGCGTAGGCTTTTCTAAATTATTAAGGTTCTTTCTGCTTTAATCTACTTTTTTTTATATAATTTATGTTATGTAGCAGCCTTATTAGCTGCTTAAAGCTTAGTAATTTCCTATTACACTAACACTAGCTTATATGTAATTATTGCTGCCCTCTTTAAGACCTTTTTAAACACTTTAACTATAAAAGTTAGTAAACTATTTATATGCTTTTAAATTTTTATTTTTATAAGCATTAATTATAACCTAAGGTCTAAGGTCTTACTTAGGGTTTATAACTATTAGAGCTTATTATATATAAGTAGTAATAGTAATAGAGTGCATAACTTTACATTAAGGCCTATTATAACTTATTATAGGTTAAAAAGAACTAATTTAGCGCCTTAAAACTCTTTTTAAATATTACTAAAAGTAATTATAGCATTATAAGCTACTTTAAAGCATAGTAGAAACTTTATTTTTATAATATAAATAATCTAGTTATGTATAAGGTTTTTAGCTTAGCGCTTATATACCTTCTTTAAAAAAGTAAAACAACTTACATTAAGTAACTATAAAAAGCGTAATAAGTAAAAAACTATATAAATAGTAATAATCTTATTATCTTTATAGTATTACTAGAAATAAAGTAAGTTATAGCTTTTATAGCTGTTAATAACTAGCAGATAGTAGCTGCTAATAGTACACTTCTTTATATGCACATTAAAGTGCTTTAACTAGTCTAGACTAAGCTAATTAGTAGTCTAGCTACACTTAAAGATTATAATAACTTAATTCTAAAGTAGATTTTCTTTTTTATACTAGCTTAAAAAGTAGTTGCTACTTTAAAAAATAATAAAAAGCAGAATAGCCTACCTTTTAGTATTAATGCTTTAGATAGCTATTATCTACTCCTAGTTACCTAGCTAAACTACTTTTAGCTATTTTTATCTCTCTAAACTTATAATAACTGCTTTAGTAGATATCTAGCTTATTATAAACTCTATTTTATTAAAGTTATATGTGTTATTATTTTAGATGCTATACTTAGCTTTAATATTTTTTATAAAGTTAAACTAGCTTTAAATTACTATAAAATTTTTATAAAAAGCTTTTTTATAGTTATACTTACACTTAAACTTTACTTTAAGCTTTAAGTAACACTTAATAAATATATTAAGCTAGTTTATGCTAACATAGCCTATATTATACTTAGTGTGTAAAGAATTAGCTATATTAGCTACAGCTACTAGCTAGGGGGGAAATCCTTACACATCTAGCTTAAGTATGTGCTAAATAATTACTTACTTTTTATTATTATCTAGCTTTTGTAAGTTAGCTATATAATTAGCTTAAAAAAGTTGTCTAGTGTGTTAGTTACTTATTATTTTTTAAAAGACTTTATAGATAGCTGCAGCGCGTTACTTAAAAAGTATTATGTTTTATTTAAAAGCTTAGAGTGTAAGCTGCATCTAATGTTCCTTTAACACGTCTAAGTAGTGTTATTAGAAATGCATTAACATACTTCATGGGCGAGTTGCTCACACACCTGAGTCGCTTACTTTTGCCAAGACCCCACCCTAACAAACTCTATTATAGCCTATAACAACCTGCTCTAGCACTATATAGTACAGTACAGCCTAGAATATTATTTAGATACTACTTCTGCTTCTTACTTACACATTTGCGCATTATGCCTAGTCTAATTGCACTGTCTGTAGCGCCTTTAGAATAGCTTACTTACTTTAGCTTGCACCTACTTTTTTACCTTTTTTTTATTACTGTGCGCCTTAAACTTCTTTAGAGCTGTTAAGCATAAGCTTTTTTAAATTATTAAAGTTTTTTTTACTTTAATCTACTTTCTTTTATATAATTTATGTTATGTAGCAGCCTTATTAGCTGCTTAAAGCTTAGTAATTTCTTATTATACTAATACTAGCTTATATATAATTATTACTACTCTTTTTAAGACCTTTTTAAACACCTTAACTATAAAAGTTAGTAAACTATTTATATACTTCTAAATTTTTATCTTTATAAGCATTAATTATAACTTAAGTTCTAAGGTATTACTTAGAGTTTATAACTACTAAAGCTTATTATATATAAGTAGTAGTAGTAATAAAGTGCATAACTTTATATTAAAGCTTATTATAACTTATTATAAGTTAAAAAAAACTAATTTAGTGCTTTAAAACTTTTTTTAAATATTACTAAAAGTAATTATAGTATTATAAGCTACTTTAAAGCATAGTAAAAACTTTATTTTTATAATATAAGTAATTTAGTTATGTATAAAGTTTTTAGGTTAGTGCTTATATACTTTTTTTAAAAAAGTAAAATAACCTACATTAAGTAACTATAAAAAGTATAATAAGTAAAAAAGTATATAAATAGTAATAATTTTATTATCTTTATAGTATTACTAAAAATAAAGTAAGTTATAGCTTTTATAGCTATTAATAACTAGTAGACAGTAGCTGCTAATAGTACACTTTTTTATATATATATTAAAGTGCTTTAACTAGTCTAGACTAAGCTAATTAGTAGTCTAGCTATACTTAAAGATTATAATAACTTAATTTTAAAGTAGATTTTCTTTTTTATACTAGTTTAAAAAGTAGTTACTACTTTAAAAAATAATAAAAAGTAAAATAGCTTACTTTTTAGTATTAATGCTTTAAATAGCTATTATCTACTTCTAGTTACCTAGCTAGACTGCTTATAGCTATTTTTATCTCTTTAAACTTATAATAACTACTTTAGTAGATATTTAGCTTATTATAAACCTTATTTTATTAACATTATATATGTTATTATTTTAGATACTATACTTAGCTTTAATATTTTTTATAAAGTTAAACTAGCTTTAAATTACTATAAAATTTTTATAAAAAGCTTTTTTATAGTTATACTTATACTTAAACTTTACTTTAAGCTTTAAGTAACACTTAATAAATATATTAAGCTAGTTTATGCTAATATAGCCTATATTACACTTAGTGTGTAAAGAATTAGCTATATTAGCTATAGCTGCTAGCTAGAGAGAAAATCTTTACATATTTAGCTTAAGTATATGCTAAATAATTACTTACTTTTTATTATTATTTAGCTTTTATAAGTTAGCTATATAATTAGCTTAAAAAGGTTATTTAGTATATTAGTTACTTATTATTTTTTAAGGGACTTTATAAATAGCTACAGTGTGTTAGTTAAAAAGTGTTATATTTTATTTAAAAGCTTAAAGTGTAAGCTATATTTAATATTTCTTTAACATGTTTAAGTAGTGTTGTTAGAAATGCATTAGTGTAAAAAAAGTAGTGTAGTAGAGTCTTAGCAAAAGTAAGCAACTTAGGTGTGTAAGCAACTCGCCTATGAAGTACGTTAGTGTAAAAAAAGTAGTGTAGGGTCTTAGCAAAAGTAAGCAACTTAGGTGTGTAAGCAACTCGCCCATGAAGTACGTTAAACTACATTACGCATACTTAAAATAACACTAACAGAAACCTAGCAAACGCACGCAGAAACAAACAGACTAAATTAGATATATAATGTAATAAAAAGAGACTCTAGACAGATTAAAAGCAATGATAATACTATAGCAACCTTTCCTGTCTCCCTATTAACGTAGGCAGTCGCAGGGTGACTTTCTTATAAATGTTCTTAAATGCAGGCGCGTTCCTGATCCATCACAATAAAGACAAGAAGTTGTACGACCCGTACGACTATTAGGCACCGCCACACGTCCATGCCCGCCGCACTGAGAACATGTATAAGGCACATTTTCTGTGACTTGTCGCTCAGTGTAGCCAAATCCACGACAAATTGAACAGCTAGGATCGGCCTGCTTCGACCCCGTCCCCACATCCATACCCTAGCTCAGACTCCCAATCTCTACCTACTTCCCAACCGCCACCCCGAACTCTCCCACTCCTTCCCATAATCTCGCGCATACTTTTACACGCAGACAGATAAACTCTCATTCCCAGAAATCTGCCCACTCCTTCTCTACCATTTGCATATTCGTCATCGTCATATTTGCTTGCATCTCTGCTTGTCCCGCTTGGTTCATCTGCGCGTCTGAGGCACGGAAATCGGGCTAGAAGAGGCGGAAACGGCGGTTAGCAATGGGATGAAATAATAGCGGACGGGATGGGATGGGACGAGGTAGAATAGGTTGAATTCGGCAATTATGTTTGCGAACTGGACAGGCATAATTCTATGGTATCTTAGGATGCAAAAGGATAGGGAGCGGGGGGTGAGGGGGAAGATCCTAGGGCAATTAAAAGACGAAGGAAAATAGTGCGCTTACGATCACCGACGGCGAATAATACGTCGAATGCCCCATACTCGCAATCTGACTCGCAAGGCTCTGGCTCATAGCACTCTGCTGATTAATCACCATCATCTCCATATGAAACTTGGCCTGCATTTTCTGCTGCTCATACTGCATCCTCAACAACTCAATCTTCTGCTTAAGTTCCCTGAATTTGGCGTCCCGCTGCTGTAGCTTTTGCCGGAGAGTTGCGAGATCGTTTGTGGACAACGCGTCGCTGAAATACTGCTGTAGTCGCGGTGAGTATAGTTGGCATGTAAATCCTACCAGGGGAACAGAAGGCATGGAGGAGAGTTGTGTAAGAAAGAGATGGGAAGGTGTGCGGGTTAGGAGGGGCCGGATGTGCGTGATGTGGCACTCTTCGCAGATGGTAAATTCTGGGACGCGGGATGGTATATTGTAGCATTTTTGACCGGGGATCTTTTTGTCCTTCGGGCAGGGAGGGACCGGTGCCCAGAGTTTGATGTAGGCGGTTAGGGGCTGGATGTCTCTGTATCCGGATGTCAGGGTCTTCTCAGCGACTTCGAGGATTTGGTCGAGGTACGCGAGGGTCCGGTCGTGAGATGGTACCATTAGATCGCATGTCCCGAGGAGCCGCTGACCGCTGGCTGCAGGCAAAAATATGCCTTGAAGATTGGGGGTGATCGTGTTGATGTGGCGAATACAGTGGGAGCAAACCGTGAGGTCTTCGATCGGGTTTCCAGTTAACGTGTCTTGCAGGGAATACCACGTCCGTGTGGCACTGGACTTGCCGCCTCTCTGAACATCCTCGTTCTGCCTGTCTAAGTTCGGACACGAGCCCTCTGGATCTTCTATCTCTGCAATAGTGCCGAGCAGTGTGAGGTCAAGGTAATTATGGGTAAAGAGCCATGCCCACGCTATGCGGACCCAGAGATCAGAGAAGTCGCAGCGGGTGCTCATCCCCTCTGGTTTAGGAGGCGCAGGGGATATAAAACGAGCATAATTAGTGGGCTGCAGCGACGTGTTGTAACAATCTGCACAGATGTCGAAATTGGTGTAGTGATGCGGGCTGGTGATCTGGTACCATTGTGACTTTTCATCTGTGAACTCGGGGAATTTGCATGATGCGAATGGGGGTACTTGGGTTTTGGATATAGAAGAGGTGGGTGAAGCGGTCGTTGCCGGTTGTGGATGTGGGCGCACAAGCGGCATCGTGGAAGCAGGATTGGCGCGGGCGAAAATTTCGATTCAGCTGCTCGAAGCTCCTCAGACGGCACAAGGCAGAAACCGAAGGAGGTGAAGAAGAAGCGAGGCGTCGCTCCTGAGATCGCGGACTTCAGCTCGCAGCCTAGGCTAGCCTCGTGACACAAGATTGGATCTGTTCTCGAGCCGCCCCGCCAGAAGACCCGAGGAAAACGTCCACGCTCCAGTGCGTGTAACATTTCAAAACGCATCTTAGACGTGTTCTGCAGGGCCAAGAGTTTCTTAAAGTGCCTCTTAGACGCCACAATGAGAATCGAGACTGCACAGCATGGCTAGGGAAGGAAAACTTTGAGCGAAAATTTTAGATTGCTTCAGAGAGAGAAACGAGAGGAACAAGTAATTCAAGAAAGCTTACCGAAAGTGTTCCGTGCTTGCATCTCCGTGATGTCAGATCGTGATGAGAGTGGGGAGGCGTGCAGGTGAGGTTGAGATTGAAATACTTGAGATCTGGGGGTCCATTCTGCAGCTCGGGCTCTCTCATTGGCTGCAATTGTGAGATCACTTTGACTACTCTACTTTGACAAATAGTCAGAAATCGAGTTTATAGAAGGGCCTTATAAGAAAGAAAGCTCGGGGCATTGGCCTTAGAGTCAAATACGTAGAAATTGAACATCGAAAAAGCACTGGCTGGTGACCTTCCTCTGGCGTAACCTGCTTCTGCGTTACCATTGAGGCCGAAGAGGAAAAAGAGAGGCCAGGTGGTTGGGGATATATTCATACTCTGTTGATTTAGATAGGTTAAGCAGGATCAAGGCACGAGGTAGAATCCGCTTCGATATGTTTTGAAGATACGGCAATGCATTTCAATAGTTATAGAGCCACTAAGCGAAAGACAATATTGAACAACGCCCTTGATTAGGGCATTTTATAACCCCATATTGTGTTGGGGGAGTAGTCCCTTAATTAATAAAGCCAAGGCAGAAATAGCTTTCGTAAGAGGGGCCGAAAGCGCTTCTCAGGCTTGCCCTTGAGAACCAGGTGGATTCCATCTACGCTTGAGTGAATTGTTCGACCTAATGCTGTAGATCTAGCAATATGCGAATACGGTATGTTGGAGGATGTTAGTTACAAATGCCTTGGTGTGCCGGAAGGCGTGTCTGTGTTGGCGTATGACAGTAGAGAGGGGTGTCTGGCTATACTATTACTTCTTCAAAGAAGCGTTAGTGACATCGGAAATGGTTCTTGAGAGGATTTTGACCGGCTCACTTGTTCTTGGTAACCACAGAGGGGTATGGCTAGTCTTTCTGGATGTCAGCAGTTCCCATTTGAAAGGCGTATGTCTAGCATCAGTTTAACGTGAGGTAGTGTAAGTGCATGAAGAACTGATGGAGGATAGTAAGCGTACTAAGAAAATTGCTGTTAACAAGACACTTCACCACAACCTCCGCTTATGCGAGGCTGATTCTAGTGCATTACTGGGTTTTGATACACTGTGACCTGTCCCAATATACATCTCGATGTTGGATCATCAAACCTTTTCTTAAGCCTAACTTAGGCGATTCCCAACGCCGCAGCTGGGCAGTAGTATGTCGCCGAGATTTTGGGACCAGGCAGACAAGATGCTTCTTCCAGGCTCGGCTCTGCTGTACTAGACTGGGACACTGTTTAGTGGATTATTAGCCAAGCAAGAGCTCAGTAAGACGAAGCCATGCTATATACTGCCATAACCCTTTTATACCTAAATTAAGACATCGGTGCCGCATCTTAGCTTGCATTTTCGGTAAGGCATCGAAGTTCGCTTCCCGCTCTCTGATCTCTCCAGAGATATACTCACTCACGACATCCTAGGCGTTTCTCGCAGAGCGGGCCATCCTCAGGTGAAGGAGAGCCACAAGACTCCCCCGCATTTGGTAAGTCGATATCTACGAGAGGTGGGATGCCTGACCTCAGGTTCGGAGGTCCAAATCGAAGATGCGCGGTCTAAGCTGAAGAGGGCTACTGTTACTCTGCCGTCTCTGTTCATACGGTATCGCGTAAAGCGGAAAGTAGGGGTATCTCAACACTCTAGCTGTATATGAATAGGTATCATCACGATAAACTTTCGTGGGAATACCTTCTATACTTTTCGTAGCGAAGCCTCTTAGAGGTGTTGGTTATGCAAGGGTTTACCATAGATATGGGGGTAGTAAGCGCCCATTGCCCTTTAAGTCATTAGTGCCTTAGTAGCTGGTATTCGAGGCTAAGTGTTAAGCCTAGCAAAGAACGTGGCAGCAGCGAGGGACCTGGCTGACACTTTGACATGTCAATTCCACAGCCGAGTTGGGTCTTGTTGGTCCGAGGTTCTAGAATTCTACCAATCGCGAAGGATGTATCTAAGGAAAGTTTGGGGAGGGAAGGAGACAGGGTGGAAGTTGGATGGCAAGAGGAAAAGGCGAGCCGCGACCCCGCAAGGAGGATAAGTCCCGCTCCCAACATTCCGTACGCTCATAAGTCCAGATTTTGATGCCTGGGCCGGTGCTGCAACCGGCCCATCACCTGAGAGTGCAGAGATACAAGTCTTCCAAGATGTTTTGTTCCTCGATGGCGCCTAGCTTCCTCATTTAGAACGCCTCAAACGCGGGTAATTATGCGCGGCGGCGGCAGAGTAAAATGATAAGCAAAGATTCGCTTCTCCTGTCCAAAGGATTGACAGTAGCGGTGAGGGGGGAATGTTCGAGGAAAGGAAGCAAGACATTGGAATGAATACAGCACGAGCAAGAGAGTTGTCTCTGGTGATGGGGTGTAACAACGGGGGAAGCCACTTGCTAATCAGGCCCCCGATTTACTTTCTGGAAGGTGTTTAGTCGACGAAACAGGAACCAAGTGGGTGTGGTCTTCGGAGATCAGTGAATTTTAGGGACAAATCCTTCCGCGATTAGGTTGGCGGTGTCGGTTCCAGTCAGCCGTCACACTTCCATTCCATTTGGCGCGGGTCGGCCACGTCGACGCAAAGACGTTGTCACTGGATCCTGGGACTTGAAATCGAACCGTCAGACGGGAGAATTTCTTCTGTGCCGCAAGGCTGCAGATTCGGTGAGGTCGAACATGATTGAGTCTTTTGTCGTGGTGAGGTGTGGGCGTTCATGCATTAGTGCCTGCAGCACTGCTCTCGTGCTAAAACTGCCGGTGAAGGACTTGTTAGCATAAGCACAACAGTGCACCGTTCGTCCAGGCCTCCTGGGCTAAGGCAGGCTGAAGACATTGGCGAATCTAAAGGGACCCTGGTGTGATGGTGGAGGACAGCGCTGAGGCGAGGCAGCCTGTTTGTCAGCAGCCGGAGATTTTGGATCATGTCCTGACGATGCCGAGCGACTGTATAGAACATCGAAACATTAGAGAAATGCAGCGCACGCCGTTTGTCGGTGGCTTTCCCAAACATCGCAACGGCCCAGCGCAGCGGGACTCTAGGGGGGTCCGACTGAGATGCTCGAGTGCGCTCGGACGGTGATGGACAGCGAGGGAGTCCACCGGCGCTTAGATCCTTGAGGCTTGATGTCGCCTGCAGTGCCTATTGGTGTCTCGTCGCCAAGGGACGGCGCGCAGGGGCTGCGTTAGTGTGCGTGGAGGAGACACTTGGACCGGGCGAGCAGGTGGAGGAACTCTGGAGGGACAGTTACACCAGCACCAACGCGGCACCCAACGCAGGCCTCATTACTCGATTCCTCGACGCGAGGCAGAGCGCAATTGAAACAAAATATATCGCCGCATCCTCTGCTGTCCCCACACACGGCGAGCACAGTCACCCAGTGTGCTGCTTCAAAAGCCCCTTCCGCCCCCTCTCTAGTCGCCGCGCTGCACCCAACGTCCTCTCGCCGCGCTTCCCACCCTGATTCGCCATCCGGGGGAGCTCGTCGCTCAGCCTTGTGGCCTCAACCTTCTAGGGTTGCCAGTCGCAGGCAGCTCAAGTTGGACATCTCCAGATCGCCCTCGCGGTGTTTTCCAGCACGCGGCGCAGTTAACTCTGGCGCTGCTGCGCAATTGCACCTGATCCTGAAGGCGGCATGGCAACGGCGACACAGCTCATGCCCTCGCCAACACAGGCCCTGAAGTCTGCGTTCAGCCCATACACTGACTCCCCAAGCTCGCCGGCCAACTTTGCGCACGTCTTTTCAAATAGGTGCGCTCCCCCTCCAGACCCTCTCCAGACCCCCCAGCAGGTAGGCCTCCCAAGCCAGCAGCGCTAATGGAAACCCGTAGGTCGTCAGGAACCACGTCCGACCATCTGGTCCCGCCTCCGAGCCCATACCCTTCCACCGTCGACCCCTCTCCAGTCGATAGCAATGGGACGAACGCAACTGAGGTAGATGCAGCCAGAGCTGCCGACAAGCGATGAGGCTAATCTTGCCTGCAGATCGAGGACGATGCCCAGGTCAATCAGGTCAGCGAGGACGAGATGAGCGACATGCGGTCGCCGGACATGGAGGACATCGCCAGCCCCGCCAGTCAGGCGAGCCAGGACAGCCAGGCCAAGGTACGCACGCAAGATATTTGATTTGGGGCATCCCTCTAACGGCGCCGTAGCCGTCCAAGCTAGACACAGCGATTCCTCCACGCACCCGGGCAGATTCCGACGATGCGCCACAGTCGGTCATCCATGCCCCCACCAGCTTCAAAACATTCGTGAGTGTCAAATTAATTGTAGTTGCACCAAGTAGGCGCTGATATCTTTGACAGAATCGCGTCTCTGTCTCGGCCGCCGGGTCCAACGAGACGCGGTCAGATAGCACGGCAGTAGTGTCGCCACAGACACCAGAGGCAAATATGATACCTGATGAAAAGGTCCGCTGCCACTATCTTCCATTTCAAGCAGCGGTGATGGCTAAACAGATGCAGCACGCTTCTGCCACCTCTGCGTACACGTATCCCCTTGATACCGATCTCCCACCAGCGGGGCCCGAGGAGCGAACCACGCCACGCGCGCAGACACGGCAGGAAGTCGAAGATGGCAGTAAGAGACGGAGCAGAGTTAGCCTCAGTCTAGCAGGTGGGTTCCTTCTCAATTTAGCATTTCCCCGCTTCTAACTAGCAGGCGGCTCAGATATTGCCGAGACAGACGACTACAATACCGTCTCAGACGCATCTTCAACATTTCAAGACGATGGCAGCGCAGCATCCCAGTCACAGCAGAATGGATCGCCACCCATTTCAATGAGCACCCAAACAATGGCCACGCAGACTATGGGAGCGCAGACCATGGGAGAAGCGTTGCAGAACATTAACGAGGCGGAACGAGAGGTTGCTGCGCTAAGGGACGCCCTAGGCGAATGCTGGACGTTGTGCAATACATTGGCAAAGCTCAGCCAAAACCATCGCCAGCGCATGTTTCACTATTCTGGCGGACGAGGTGACGTTCAAGAGCATGCCTGGCGAAGCTGTTGGCGGCTGTGCCAAAAACTCTACGAAAGTAGAAATGAGGATCACGCCAGCCAGGTCAAACCCACGCTGGAACTTTGCCGGGATTTCTGCCAAGCCCTGTTCGAGGTTCGGCAACGGGGCGACGAAGCAGCTGATTCGGTCTTGAGGGTCAGCTTTGAACTCAACAACCACCTTTATAACGCCCACGATCGGGCACTGCCGGAAGCCTTTCGGGAACGGACCCTAGACTTCTACTTGACCCTGTGCCACCGCCTGATGAAGCAGCGAACATCTTTGCCGGAAGAAACAGACGCTCTTCTTCATGCTTGCTGGTCTCTTGCTGAGATGTTGTTCAGCATCCGCCAGAATAGCCGCGACGGTAAGCCCGCGGACGAGGAGTTGCTTGGGTCAGCCATCCAGGCCTGCTGGGAACTCTGCGACCTCTTCCGAGAAGGCTGGACTCAGGTGAGACCTGAGCGTGGGACTCCGCGGCCGTCTCAGTACACATTCCCTGCCCCCGCTTCTGTGTCGCAATCACAAAGTTCCTATTCCGAACGGTCAGGCCGCTCATCGAGCCTTAACGAATCGTATCACTCTGCCATCTCTATGAGACGTCAGCTCGTGATGCATCCCGAAACTCCAACCACCATCTTCGACGATCGCGAAGAGTTCTCTCCTTCAGAGGAGCCTAATGTTCCGAATATACTGATTCTAGGGCCTGAAGCAGGAGCTACTCGAACCCACGATCGCTGGTCTTCCGCAGCATCTAGTCTATCGACTTACTCAGACGCTTCTCAATCCGTGCACACATCGTCAACAGCAACCGCGGGACGCGAAGACCCGAACCTCATTCGCTTAAAGGGACTAATTGTTAAGTCAGCCATAAATACTGGTTACTCTCGCCAAACACCCCTTCCAGACTTTGTCAGAGCTCTCCCTTCGAATAGCTTCGGCACAATACCTTGGCAAAGCAAGCTCTTCGAACATTACAAGAAGCTTGTTCTATCCGATCCGACCTTGAGGACCGTGCACACCACACCGCTTCGGAGATTGACTGCCAGCGAGATAGGCAGGGCAGTGCAATGGATGGCAAGAAGTGAACAGTTTTCATGGATGCGGGACCTATATCGTTTCGTGTTTGGCAGCTTCCCCGAGGATGCCGGGCAACGGAACCTAATCATTAACGCGTAGTCACGTACGCCACCTCACGAAGACGACGTTTACTCCCTTTTCTCTTTTCATCCCGGCTTGGATAATGCGCGGCTATTTTAGTGCTTTATTTGCGATATACCCTCAACGCTCACTTCGGTGCGAATGACTCTGTTGGGCCTCCTGTTAGAGTCGGCGTTCTACCGATTTGGATTAGGATTTAGCGCGTGTTATCTTCTCTTCTCTGTATACTTTTAACTTCCACGATTTTTATGACGAGACAATCGTATAGAATGCCTCTCATTAAATTCATTGCAACTACGTGTTATATCAAACACCAAGGAACCTCGCCTCATCAATCCATGCATCTTCTGTTCTAAATTTCGATACTATACGTACTTCTAGGTACAGTCTACATGATCAAGGGTGGCCAGGCGTGGGTCTAACTGCGTAGCCTTAACTTACCCCACGAACAGATATTACAGCAGATGAGCAATTCGGAGGATGCAAGCGAATATTAGCTTTAGTTGCAATTGTATGTCAGCCCACGGCACTGCAAAGCAGGGAGGGCAGCCGACATACTCTGATACTAATATTGTGAAGTGCTTCTTCCCTACGTGTGGAGATGTGTTTCAAATGTAATGACCAATGTGCTGTTAGATATTTCAGAGCTTATTAAACGCACCTCACGGTTGTGTCGGCCACCTGTTACGATTTCCACTTACTAGTCACGTGCTAATGAGGACGTGCGTTAGGTGCGCGACCCGGATAATAGTGGGGTGTCGAATGATGAGGATAGGTTTGGTAAGGATGTACGGTCCGTCCCTAAACCTATTAGGGAGAGGGAGAAAGGTAGGCTAATTATAGTTTATCCCTTCTGCTATATAAGAAGCAGGAAAACAATCTCTTAAAAATAATAACGTACCTAACAGGTTGGCCAGCCACTTTTGCTAAGCCCCTACTAAACTCTACTTATCTATATAATGCCTTAACAACAACACTAGATTAAATCCTCTAAAGAATGTTAAATATAGCTTACTTTTTAGGCTTTTAAATAAGACTTAAAACTCTTCTTATAACACACTATAGCTATCTATAATGTCTCTTACATAACACTAAGTAATTAACGCGCTAGATAGCCTTTATAAGCAGAATGCTAGCCTAAATTAAAAAATCTAACTAAGCTTAAAAAAAAAGTAGTTATTAAGTACATACTTAAGCTTATTACACATAGATTTCTCTCTAGGCTTATAGCTATAGCTAATATAGCTAATTCTTTACCTATAAAGCGTAATTTAGGCTAGGTTAGCTTAAACTAGCCTAGTATATAGGTTAAGCACTGCCCTAAGTTTATAATAAAGTTTAATTATAAGTATAATTATAAAAAAGTACTTTATAAGAATCTAAAAGTTATCTAGGGCTAGTTTTACCTAGTAGCTAACATAAAAGCTAAGTACAGTATTTAGAATAAAGACATGTATAACTTTAATAAGTTAAGCTTTATAATAAGCTAGATATTAACTAGAGTAGTTATTATAGCTTTAAAGAGATAAAAACAGCTAAAGGTAATA